CGGTCAGACTATCTGTTTCGGCCTAATTTAATGCGTGTTGTAGGACATGTTTGTGGCCGGGACAGACACGACATCATCAACGCTAGAATGGACGATGACATCGCTAGCTAGGAATGAAAGGGTGATGAAGAGAGCACAAGATGAAGTAAGGAAGACCATAGGGAACAAAGGGAGAGTAGAAGAGAGTGACCTTCAATGCCTCGATTACCTCAAAGCAGTGATCAAGGAAACCATGCGGCTCCACCCGCCTGTTCCTCTTCTAGTTCCTCGAGAATCCATGGAGAAATGCACCATTGATGGGTACGAAATACCTGCCGGAGCTAGGGTCCTAATCAACACCTACGCCATGGGGAAGGACCCGGATTCGTGGGGCGACCCTTTAGCGTACTATCCTGAGAGGTTCTTGGAACAAGATATTGACTTCAAGGGGCAAGATTTCAGGTTTCTGCCGTTTGGAGGAGGAAGAAGAGGTTGTCCCGGTTACGCTCTGGGATTGGCAACGATTCAGCTCACGCTGGCTCGTCTGCTCTATCACTTTGACTGGACACTGCCACCTGGAGTGGGCCCAGACGACGTGGACTTGACCGAGATTTTCGGGCTGGCTACCAGAAAGAAGGTGCCTCTGAAACTTGTCCCAAAAGTCATTATGCCTCCTCCTCCTCCTCCTCCTCAGCATTGATATATGATAACTGTACTAACAGCAAAGTTAATAAGTTAATAAAGTGTGGACATGCTACAGCAAGAAAAAAGGTAAACAACCCTGTTTTTCTTTATAGAAAAAATCAAGAACAATATGAATGCATTTTCTTCATATCTAAAACATCAAGAACGAAACCGACCTGTGGTTTTTTTTTTAATAAATTCATCAAAATCGCTAATTTTGACGTGTTTCAAAGCAATACATATGCTTGTTTACAAATAATAACAAATTTTGCAGATTATTAATTAAACCCAACAATTTATTGCAAATTTAACAAATGAAGAACGTAATAATCATCTCTCCCAAAATCAAACAAAACACAAAATCAAAATGACTTACACAAATACGGAGCATTCAATAATTAAAACATAAAAGTAAAAGCAATTAACAAAAACATTAAAACCTGATGTCTGATGCTGAAAACACCGCTTGTGGGTAGGGACTGATTGGGGATGGACGGCGGCAGCGGCCGCCGAATTTGGATGGCACATTGGAACGGCATCGGCGGCGCAAGCGTCTACTCTGAGAGAATTGAGGCAAAACTTGAGCAGTTTCGGGGCTGCCGGCCTAGTGGAGAAGCATTCGAAGTATGATTGTAGGTAGTAGAAAGTGGAGTTGGTATATGGTACATTCCATGCACCTAGAGATAGGTACTCATTCGAAATTCGAAGTAAAGTAGTACTCATTCTCGCACAAACATAAGAGTTCATTTGAAAAACGTGGTACTCATTCTGAAATAATGCAGTACTCATTCAGAAATAACGTCATATTCATTTTCACAAATTTGTTCAATATTCATTTACGAATAATATAATATTCATTCTAAAACACACTAGTACTCATTCTCATATAACTCAATAATCTTGAACAGCCTAAACTTAACCCTTGGATCTTGCCGCGGAAGACCATCGCCAACCGAAGAGAATTGATAGAGAAACCATTTACCTCCATCTTCACCTTCATCCCACCTCCTCCAGGCAGCCGCCACGACATCGATTGACGATCGCGGCCTCCTCCAAGCACAGCCTCCAACTTCTATTGCCTCTGCATCCTCGCACTAGGGCCGGTACCTTCTTCCGCGCCTCCCTTCCGTCATATAATTGCCGGCTGTACCGAAAAAACGGTACAGCCAGATGTACCTAATAATTTGCGCAGAAAGTGCTCCCTCCTTCACCAAACTTTTCATTCAAAAAATAAATACTCGGTACTAGTATTACTATATAAAGAATGAAGAACAATGAAGGTTACTTATTATTTTGGTCTTGATAACGTTTGTTTGGCCTGTAAAGAATGTCACCTTTATTATTTTGGCCTCTTGATAATGTTTGTTTATTTACTCATTTTGGTTGACCATTTGATAAAATAAAATATTCTTATCGCATCTTGTTTTGTAGAACTTTTCATATACTTTTGAATGGTGTAATTTTTACTTTTTATTACTCTACAAATTTGAAAATATAATGATTTTAAAAAAAATGATATTTTGCACGTCGTTCGAAATATTGCAAATAATTTGGGACGGAGGGAGTATTAATATATTTAGTTTTGAAATATCATTTTTTATAAAATATATCTATTTATAAATGTAGATATCAATGCTCCAAGTGCAACATTGGAGATCGTGAAAAGTCAAATAGAAAAAACTTTTCCATACGGAGAAGTTTTTCAACAATTTTTGTTTTTACCCTCTCCAAAACGACAATGTTTTAATTTATTTTTACTCTTTGTGTTTTTTATAAATCGGTACTATATTAAAAAGACAATCGTCTTCCTCATCTCAACACCAGCAGAGGGCTGGACAAGTCCATCGAGGGGAGGGGGGGGACAACCAGCATATGTTTGTCANGTATGTTTATCGATAGATCAACTGACGATTTTGATAATTTAATAAACGTATGTTCTCTTAAATGAGATAAAACAATTGATAATTTATACGCCAAAAATGGTAGATGTGAATGAGAATGTCATTCTCAGAGTTAACCTGTTAATAGAAAAATTAGGTAAGAATTGTACAATTTTGTAATTTTATTGAACCAATCTTCTACTATTTTTTTACGCATTGTTTAAAATTACTCCATTTTTGTGGATTTAAATGATCATTAATCTTCAATTATTCGGGACAATTTTAACAGACGTGTTAATGGTTATTTAATCACCATTAACACATCATTAGTGTGTCATAAATGTCAGTCTAATACTAAGTAGTAATGTATATATGTTACATTTTAAAAACTGATTAGATATAAAATCAAGGGGCTCCTATCATTATTTTGTGTGATCCATACATGAGGGGGAGAAGAAAGAATGAAAAAAAAAATCTTCCTTATTCTAAGAGAGAGCTCTTGGTTTTCCGGTTGAATTTCTGGTGATACCCTTCAATTTTTTGGTCGCCAACGTTCCGAGGTTGTTTGTGTTCGTTGGTGCGTGGTTGGTTTGTACTATCACCACACACGATTGCAGTTTTACCCTAGGAAGAGAGTGCTCATATTGTCACGATACATTAGGCGGGCACTACTACCTTAACGACGGTTCCGGCGGCTTCATTGTCCTTCCACGATATTTGTTTTTGGAGGTTCAGTTTATAGTCAACTTGGTGCATTCTGCCCAGGCCGTGATGTCCTCACAGGTGTTTTGGCTCTATCCATTTTGTCCTCACTCCTGCTCCAGTGATCTCGCCACTACTCACAATGAATTCGTCCCAGGCTTACTACTTCAGCCAGTGCATAATGTCATTGCAGTCTAGTACATAATGTCCACGTACAGCAAGTCCTTTAGAAGAACCAAAAAGTTATTTTTCAGTTTGTTTATTTTGTAATATTCTGAATAAATTGTAAATTCAGAAATTTATTTCCAGGGTCGTTCATCATCTCAGTCCGTTGGAATCTGTACGAGAATTGTAACAATCTTAAGGTAATAGCATCTCCGGGCATGATGGCAAGTATGGACGATTTCAATTATGACGGTCACACCGGAAACATGAGTAGTTTCGAGACTCCGGTTATGAATACTTCGGATGGATTCGGTGGCTATGTTGGGCACACCACTCCGACCATCGCCCCCTTTGGATCGAGTGTGACCATGAGTCCACTCTGATCATCACCTTCGGTTGACCGAGCACGACTATGGAATCCGCTCCCGTAACTTCTTTTGTTGGATTGACCACGGCTACAACCTCAATGACCTTGGATCCACAACAGAATGTGTGCTCCCACAACCCACCTTCAATTAGAGTGATACTTACATGTTCTAAGGTCCGCATCTAAAATGTGGATCTTTTCACATTTTTTATGGCTTGGATGTTGATATTTTCTATTTTGCAAAAGGGCAAATTCTTTCGTAGGATGGACCTAAGGTACATGCTCATTTAATGGACCTTTGTGTATTTGTAGTATAAAAAGTGCGCCTTTGCAAAAAAAAATATTCACATGTAAGTCCATAAAAAATGTGAGAAGATTCACATTTTAAATGTGAAACTTGAGACCATATAAGCATCACTCTCGTAAAGGACCTACTTTTTTATGCTAGAAACACACAAAGGTCCATAAATAAGCATGGATCATAAGTTCATGGAAGAATTTGCCCCTTCGATCACCCCTTTCACTAAGGGTTGTCTTACGTTGAGGCAATACAGATTTTATCGAAAAGACTCTTAAGTCTTCCTGCTTAAAAAAAAAGAAAAGTTATCTAGAATAATCACAACTTTACCTGGTCTTTAAAAATAATCCTACCTTTCAATGTGATGCATAATAATCTCAGCTTTACTGAAATTTGTAAACTTTGGGTCACCGTTAAATTACAAACGGCGAGTTGACGGTAACGACCTGTTTTGCGCAACAAAATGAAAGTTGAGATTATTTTCAATGAATTTTCTTTTTTTAATTTTTTTTTGAAATTTTAATTTAAAATTTAAAATTTTTATTAACTTAACGACAGTCTAAAACTCGTTACCCCACCGTTACCTAAAACAGAGCTCTGTGTGAAATGATCTATATATGAACTGTATAAACCGATCCAGAACCCAATCAAAACCCAAAAAGTATGAAACTAAATTAGATTCAAACCAAAACAATTATAACATACATCCAAATTCCAGAAGATATTCAAACCAGATCCGATCCGATTGATCTGATTTCCAGGTCTAATACACGGGATGAGGATATTGAAGAGCACAAAATTGAAAGGAGACATTTTTTAATAAGGGAAGTAGCATTTACGAGAGACAAGGCATTCCAAAATACAAATAATTACAAAAAAAATGAGATCAGAAAATGTAAGTATCAATGCATCAAATGCAGCCTCCACAACGACCTAAAGAAGGCCAAAAAGTAGAGACCAAACGCAGTGGTGAAGAATACACCATTCAACAAAAGATTCACATTACTTATTATTGTAACATTCCATCTTTTAAAACAATGCATATAACAATTAACAATGAATTGTGTACTCCGTATTCTTATTACGGTCAAACAATTAAAGAAGCTATGGCGAATACGGCTACGTTCGTCGTAATGAGCAAGGAAAAATAAATAATTAAAAAAAACAAACACAAACTGACCATATGATGCAATGTTTTTCACTGATGACATCACTTCCTGGCAACAAACAGGCCCCACCTCTGCTCGCCGGATGAACTCCTGACCAGCTTCGCCTTCCACCCTCCGACTATTTCATTGTAGTCCTCCTGCACGTTCATCGTGGGAAAATGGTATGATTAGTTCCGTGTAGGGTTAAAGGAAATAGGAGACTATATCAAAACACTGCAATAAATGAGGGAGCGCACTTCAGAGAACTCTTCTATGAATTCTTCCTTTCCCTTCTCCACAGATCTCAACTCCTCCTGAAGTACATTGATGAACTGTACAAAACAGCAGAGTGCAATGTTTAGTAGATCAGCTTTTGTCTCTGATCAAAACCGGTCATTTCTTATCGATTATAACAATTACCTGATCAGTTCGATCCTCAGCAATGACATCATTAAACCCTGCATCTCTGAGCATCTGTTTGTTTAGAACACAGTCAGAAAAGTTGTTTAATGCCACTGTATTAATCACATAATCTGTTTATTGCTAATGGAGCTAAAAGAGTCATCATTGACAATGTTTTAGTTTATGGCACATGATGAACTAAATAAAAAAACGTGCACATTAAAACTCCCTTGATGCTTTCTATGAATTTTGGGGCAGTAAATGTAGCAATACATTATACATCTTGACCCTCGGAGCCCAACGAAATTGGAATTATACTAGGTTGTTTCTATTAATTGCTTAAATAGAAGAAAAAAACCTTTGAAGGACTCATTCTAAGAACATATAGATACCTGGCCATATGCTTCCACATCATGTAAATCATATCCTCTTTGCTTAATATATTCAGTAAATTGTTCTGATGGAGTTCCAGCTCTTTTGCAGTAATCGCTAATGAGAACTATCCCCCCTGGCTTCAGCCACCTATAAAAAGACTTGAAAAGGGCAGGTTTGTCCTGGAAAAAAAGCCCCCACTCGCTTAATGTTCAAGAAACTAGAAAACATTGTTTTTATAAAAACAAAGTCATTTCTTTTCAAATACACAAGATTTTATGTCTCATAGACTTGTAGGAGTAAAAAGTAAAAACGCATGTGTGCAAGACAATACATGAATGTGAAGAATGGTGTCACGGCTGTAAATCACATCAAACGTGCCATCAGGGTATGCTTTCTTTGTGCAATCAGCAACCTCAAATTCAACAGCACATTTGAGACCAATAGCACGCTCAAGAGCGAAAGAGATCATGTTGATAGAGAGGTCAATGCCAACAACATGAACATCATAGTTCTCAGCCATGTAGAAGTCACCTCCACCAATGCCACATCCAACATCTAGGACTTTTTGGCCAGGCTGGAGATTCAATTTGGCGACAAATTCTTTAGTCGTGCCTGCTCAAGAATAAGAAGAAAATCAGAAAAGAAGAAAAAAAATGCAATACTCTGCATCTACAATTAGGTGTGTGTGTTTGGTTCATAAGCCATACCAAGCCCTCCGGTGCTCACAAAGCCTTCTCCGAAGACACGTTCATATCGTAAAATTCCACTGCACTTATATTGGACATTGTCCAAGAACTTCTGAAATCCCCTGTCATCTTCTGAACTAACTTTCTGCCATGTCCAGCAAATCTGCAAATAGCACGAGTGCACATGTTTCAGATTAGATTAAATAAATCATGAAAATCAAGGCCACACATAACATATAGAAGCAGTTAAGCCTCACCTGATTTTGATTCTTCTTGTTCCGTACATAAGCTCCAATACATTTGCATCCTATAAGGGAAAGTTCGAAAGATTTTCCTTTGGCAGCATTTGAATGGCATTCTTTGAAAACCTATGGAAATCAGTCGATCAGGAACACATCACAAACACATGAATCGCATTTTGGAGGGAGGGGGGGACAAAATGTTAGTCAGTGTTGTGAAGAAAAGTAACTAACACGACCAACATAAGAATTCTGACTACAAATGTAACTTAGTGGCTGTCAAGGTAGCCACCTTTTTGGCCTCTCAGCCTTTGAAGCTAGTTATTTTCAAATTTATTTTGATTGTGCCTGCTGAATTAGCTAGTAATTAAAAAGTAGAGCTGAATGGACTTTGGCTGAAATGGATGAGGTTTCATCTGCCTTTTTTTTCATTTTTTCTGCCTTTACTTTATCAATAAAATACAAGTATTTAACACACAAAAAGTCACAATTCAGCAATTCCAGCAACTTCATTGGTATCAGCCACAATTGCAAAAACTCCAGCTACTTCAGCAATTGCAGTCAAATTAGCTTTTTACCATGTCAAGGAACCAATTCAACCAAAAGCTCAAGCTTGTGGTTGTGGTCCAGGAAGAGTTATTCATATTCTAACACGCCCCCTCACGTGTAGGCGTAGTTTTTTCGAGCCTTGCACGTGAAACTTTATTTTTCTTAAAACTGGGTGGCGCTGAGTTTCGAACCCGTGACCTCTTAGTCAACAAGGCTCTGATACCATGTCAAGGAACCAATTCAACCAAAAGCTCAAGCTTGTGGTTGTGGTCCAGGAAGAGTTATTTATATTCTAACATACCAAAACAAGCACAATCTTTTAAGTCCTTTAGTAAATAGTAATACAAAATGAAGTCAAACCTTGAACAACTAGGCATAATACAATTGTTTGTTTGGTAAAGAAGTCCTAGATTTGATGAAAGTATCTAATCTCTTTATTAGATACTTAACTCGTAGTGAGTTACTCGAGAAATTCATTCAAAGAGAGTAAACACAATTTTTTCCTAAACCTCAATGCAGGTTGCAGGTAAAAAGAGCATATATTTGAAACCTTAGTATAATATCTAGGTTCTCGATAATGAGTTGGATTGTTCTTTCTCTTGTGATCTCCAGATTGATGGAAGCATGATTCTCTGAAATATATGTACCCACCAACTCTCAACCATTTGACCATTCTCTCAACTAGATTCACAACCTACAAACAAAGACAATGGATGAACATAATTCAAGTATTCATCCAAATGTAAGGAGGATTATACTGATAAAACAGACAAGTTTGACGCAATGAAGATGATCTCACTACAACCAGCTACGAAATTCAGCAATTACTTTGTGATTCAGGAAGCAAATAATATGACATGTAGCCACATAGCATGTTAATTGCTAATTAAATTCTCTTCATCACACTCTGTATTGTGTATATCATAATTTAATCTTCTATTCCTGAAAATTACTTAATAGTCGCTACTTGATAAGATCACCTTAGTTACCAATCCTTTTATCAAATGAACGCTTGATCCTGCCTATGTGCCACTTAATCATCCCCAAGAGCTAGTCCTCTGAGTGCTTTTTAGAACACTACATGTAACTGAAATCCAGGAATTTGAAAGGTTGATAAAAAGGAAATTTGTTGAGCCATTGGTGTCCCTGAAAGTTCCAGTCAATCAGAACAGAGGAAGGAGTATGAGTAGCAGGAGTAGAGGAAAAGGCCATGCTATGAAAAAACTCACTTTTGTACCAACGGATCCTCAGTCGCTTAAGCCAGTGGGCAATCTACCTCTATCCTCCCCGTTGCCCAAGAACCTTAGTATGTACTGGAAGAAGCACTCTATCCCCCCAGCTCCTCAAGAAACTCACGGTGTGGTAAATAGTCATCCAACAGGTATATTGGCTAAAACCCATCCGGTTACTGAGATTACACCTCCTATAGGTACCATGGCTAAAGCCCCTCTTGTCTCAAAGATTTTGACTACTAATATTGTTTCAAGTTGTACGAATACTACGAAGGGAAATAGATTTTGCTATCATGGATGTTGAGCCTTTGGTCATAGTCCCTGCCCACCCTTTAGAAAAGAATGTTGATGCTATTGAAGTTTGTATACTGAACGAATCCCCCAACAGCATTCCATCCAATCCTGATGTGTGTTTTGAATAGGTGGATCCCAATGCCATTTTAAGAAACACTATTGATGAATCTCTTTCACTTGAAGAAAACACGAGTTGCTTACTTCAAGGCACACGAGATCATGTGGGGCCCTTACTTTCCTCACAGTAAATACCGAATTTCCTGAAGAAATGCACCCCACCTGTCATGAGGTGTGCTTGGTCCTGCCAGAGTGCCAGTAGGCATGTCTTGTTCCTCCTATATGGCTGTCATTACCCCTTTCTCCTTTTTTCTTACCTTAGGAAGGTGTGTCCTCCTCTTGAGGGGCTGGCTTCTGTTGGGCTCCCCTACTCTTTGGTTTGCTTCTGTATTTCAGATTTCTTTTAGTTTTTAATAAAGTTCAGTTTGGTTTATTTATGAAAAAACATGGTTTTGTTTCTCCTTGCTCTAGACCACATTATGTAAAGCATAGACACCAGGTAAATTGGCTTTCAACAATCGGAACTTTAATACCACTCCACATTTATAGTATGTGGAGACTCCACGTACCATAAAGATCATAGTTTGTAAGGCGTCGCCTAGGCGATAAGGCGTTGTCCCTTGGACACCTAGTCTGCTCGCCTCGCCTAGAAAACCTTAAGGCGTTCAGGCGCTTGCCTAGGCGTCGCCTTAATCTCACCTTGACGCCTTGTGCCCCTTTAAAATTTTGAAAAGCCCAATTGTCTTAGTGCAGCCCAATTATTTTGAAAGCCTAATTTAAAATGTTTAAAAAGATTTGACTTAAACTTGTGACCTAAGATATTATACACACACACATATACATACATATATATAGGACGCCTAGGTGTGCGCCTAGTCGCCTAGGCGATATGAAGGTACATTGGCGCCTTACAAACTATGATAAAGATACACTACATGTTACAGGGAAAGCGAGATTCTGAAGAGTCCAACATGTTCTCATTTGTGCCAGTCGAAGATTTGGACCTTTTTTGGTATTAATTCTCATCTATACATGCTTTTAATTAATGTGTGATTTATATTCTTAATTTAAATTTATATATATGAATAATGATTCACGTCTACCAGTTACTTTCCAACAACAGAGTATATCATATCTATTCTCTAAGTAGTGTGCTTAACAGCAGATCTGCCACGTACACCCCATATCCGCAGTAGCATGTAATAACAAGAGCACAAGACCCGAAAAATCACCTCATTGTCAGAAAGATACATCAGTAACCAGTTTGAGAATATTAGATCTAGAGACTCTTCAGCAAAGTTCAGCTCAGGAGAGGTTACATCAGCACACATAAACTTTACATTTTTATGGTGCCCGTTGGTGGCTTCATTCTGCATTTAAACACATTAAGTTAAAATGAAATGTTTTTAACTAATTTTATAGTAACACATGCTAAATGTCCCGAAGCTTTTGCAAGACCAATAAAAAGCACAATGCAAGAATGACACAATAGGGCATGCTTGCTTGAGGTCTCAAAACTCCCTAATTTAATTGCTAATTTACCATTGTATTCCAAAGATGTAAATTCTTCTCCTCTTTAGCGAGTAAAAATCTGAAGTTTATGCATTTAAAAAAGAAAAAGAAGAAGCCTATAATAGGAAACACAAACAATTAATTGAAACCTAAACGTCAAATGGTTGTCAGCATACCCCATGCTCTCAAACAAGGACCTGGGTTAAATCTGAAATTATATGCACTAAACTAAGCATCACAAGCTTTTACACGAATGAACGATTGCAAATACTAAGGGCAGAGTGGGGCTGGTTTTGCTTGAGATCCGATACTCCATGATGATTCCTAATTTTGGTTATGTTCCAAAGTGCTAATTCCTCTCCTCGTTATAGGAAGAACCAAAAGTTCATGTACATATAATAGGCTGATGCATGCTAGAAAATAGACCTAATGAATTGCAGAAGCAAACATGACTACTAGTTGAAACACTAAACTAAAGAAAGCAGGAAGGCTAATCACAGCAAATCTCAAATTGCTGACCCCTTGTGCCCGCCTTCCGCTTGTTCTTAAATGTGTCCTCAGAACTTATGGTCTAGGTTAGATGGGACACAAAGACATCTCACATATGGAAATCTTATTATTCCCCCATCCTTGAATTAAGTTATCAGTTTATCACTTTTATGAAAAAGTTGTAGTTCATATCATCTCTCTCCCCTGCACAAAACCCAACCACAAAATTTTTACCTTACTTAAAATCTGTGAAAATAGATGGGACACAAAGACATTTTACATTTGAAAATTTTATTACTCCCTCCATCCTTGAACTAAGTTATCAGTTTATCACTTTTCTTTTATGAAAAAGTTGTGGTTCATACTATCTCTCTCCCCTGCACAAAACCCAACCATAGAATTTTTACCTTAAACTCTGTTTAGGAACACATTTTTTTTTTGAAAAATAGCCCTCACAAAATTTGTGCAAAATGAAAGACAATACTCATAGCAAATATCATAAACCTTCTTGATTGCACTTTCAATGAAGTCCAATGCAATAAGTTGCCCTGCTTTTTGGGCTAATTCACCAGTGAAACGCCCAATACCAGCACCTAGCTCCAACACTGATTTTCCTTCATATGGCGGAAGAAGAGAAAGAACCTGAATAAGAAAATCATAGTGAGGTTTAGTTCAATTGACCCACAGGAAGAAAAATAGTGCCGTTAAGCTCCTTCAAGAACATTGAAATCCATTCAGATTGTAAATGGGAAAGGAATATAGAGAAAAAGCTCTTGACATAAATAACTGAGAAAAAAGCATGAAGATCACATTATGAAAATTAATAGTCAAGGGATATCTCTATTTGCTGATCACCACTCTGTCCATGAGAAAATCATTAGGATCTTTTTAACCAACTGAAGTTACTCCCTACATTCTCTTTAAGAGTAAGTTTTTGAATTTGCACACATACTAAGAAAGCCTTAATATTTCATTTAAAGTGAATGTAATAGTATAATAAGACTAGATTGCCTGTTATACATTAGATTCATTCGTGAGATCTGCATTACCTATATAACAAATATTGACCTTATATACAAGTATAAACCGCATTCTTACCGAACATGCCATAAAAACCTTCCTTCCATCTGTGTTCACTTCCAATAAACAAAATAAAAGTCTTTTCCTCTTTGATATCACTTTGGAAAAGATTTCCAACAATAATAAGGAGAACGCAACTTAGTCTTCATCCACATGGTTCACATGAAGTCTAAAGGGACTCCATTTCAGACAAGAAAACTTTTGACTCCTTTTCCTCCATGGCCGAAATTACTCAACCAACAGGAGCATGTGATGACTTCCTATCAATCCCTCTCATTTGACCGAAATCCATGCTCAAAAGAAGAAGAGAACATCACAAAACATCAAATTTGATTTTTGGGTAGCTTCCACAATGGTCTTAAATTTGTTTTTGTTTAACAGTAAACCAAAGCTAAATCCATAGGAGACTCTCCATTGACCGGGCCAAAACCAACACAATGAAAAAGGAAAAGAATGTGTTGAAGACAATACATCAGAAATTAAGGACAAATGTCTCAATGGAAACCCTCCTTTAAATAAGGAAGCTTGTCTTAAGGAAGACCATGACTTGTTAGAACATGAAAGTTGCAAGATTTTAAAAGGTTATTAAGATTATAATACACCTAATTCATCCTTGGTGTTATTCCGTAGCATATGGATTAATTTATCAAGGAAGAGATTGTAACGGTGAGTAGAATACTATCGTGAATGGTGGACTGTCAGAAACTTGTATTCTTGTATCGTTAGCTAATCTTTTCAACAACAAAAAAACCTCCCGCGTGATGACACAAAGAGGAGCACGAAATTATGTAATAAAATGAAGAAGACAAAGTCTTATAACTCATGGACGAGTGTTACAAAGGGTAAGGAGGCAAACTGCCTTACATCATGGTATTGTGTCTCAAGCCAATGATGGGCATGTGGAGTGTCATATTAGTCTTCATAATCATTAAGCATTATCCTCATTCTCTTCTTGCAATCATGAGCCCATATTATGCCTTTAAGGACTTATATCATTCGACCAAGACATTAGTTCTACGTAGAGACATAGAGAGTGAAAACTTGATTCGTTGTAATACTCTTTGAGTAATACCCCTTGAATAAGGTGAGAACCCTGTTCAACTATTTCCTAATTGATCTCTTTAGTTGGCTACTTTAGAGTGCGTATTGTGAGTCTAATTGTCTCAAGTTGTCGTAATTTTCATGTATAATAGAACTAAGCTCTAAAGTGATTAAAGAGTGTGTCATGGCATATCACGTTATATGATCATTAAAAGCAAATATATGAACTCTGGACTTACATGTTAGTATCCTCAATTTCCTTTGACACGATAAATGGCATATTATTACTATAAAAGTAGAATCTCTATTGTATGACGGAGAAATAAATATGTCAGTAACACATACATATAAAGAGCATGTAACAATAACAAAAAATGAAGAAAAAAAACTAAAATCTCATGAAAATATTGTCGACATAATCCTCCACCCTGACTCATGCAACGGTGTAGCTCTGAAGAGTGACAGAAAATTTAAATTACAAAGATCTGGACTAATTGGTAGGCATTAATTTTGGGTTATCATCCAAAAGATAACCAAACTTCCATTGTTATAGAGCTTATTAAATTGGGTAAACATGAATAAAGTAAAGTAGTACAAGAAGAATTACTTTATTTGGCTTATATAGATGGCATTTTTAGAAAGTTTTCTTTAATTTATTTTTCTTTAATTTATTAAAATATAGGGAGTACACCTCAAGCAACTGTTTTTAGATGATCCAGTCAGCCAAATAAATCATTTCATCCCCAACTCCAACAATTTCAACAGTTCCAAACTCCCTACCTACCTTCCTTCCGATCCTTAACAGAGATGCACTTAATAATAAGGATATATAGAGACAGGAGAAAAAGAAAAAGATACCTCAGGTCTCTCTTCTTTGTCGAGATCCGCAGCCTTAGAGTCGAGCATCATGGCCTCCAAGGTGAGATCAGAGGAGTGCTCCAGCCAGTAGTTCTTCTGGATCTCGCGCTCATCTCCTGTAACACACCACATTAAATCACAACCCATAGAAAAACAGAAATCAAATCAAATAAAAAAGAAGGAATCAAAGCACAGAACACCTTGAGGAAGGGCAGCCATTGTTACAGATCAGAGATTGAAGAATTTCACGAACCGGAGACGAATTCCGCAGGTTGCAGAGAAAACGGATGCGCGATCGATTGGGGTATATGGCGAGAAGAAAGCGCTAACGGCCGTGGATTGCGAGGCGAGATCTGGAGAAGGTCCTGGATATGCGGTTGTTCACTCTCCCCCTCTGATGCATCGGCTTACTGAAACCGTGGGATCTGAAAGTGCGGGGGGGTTTCTGCAACGTTTATATAGATAGAGAGCGAGAAATGGCATGGAAATCGGAGGACCGGCGGGCGAGGTCTGGTGCGTTCTCACACTCGCACACAATGATTGTACCAACCTACCAACCCACCCACACATCTGCTGTGAGCTGTGTATCTGATAGAAGACAAAAGCGTTACTGTTGCCTTTTTGTCGCGAGGAGGGGGGAGGGAGGGAGGAGCCAAATTATTTGAAAGTTTCTTTTCTTGGCCAAAACATAAAATTTGAGATTATTTAAGAGAGCATGCTAATTGCTCCATGTACTCCAAAATTTGTATCTCATTTGTACATCAAATTATGCACTAATATTTTGATGGTTCACACTGACACAAAGTACAAGTGCGTTAACAAAAATCTACACTGACATAAAGTGTTGGTACGTTAACAAAAATTAACATTACACCAACACAAAATGTTGGTGCATCTCTGCGATGTACAAATTCTTGGGGTACAAATAGCATTATCCTATTTAAGATGTCTAATGGTTATAAACCACCGAGAATGAAGAATAATATAAGTTTTTAGAGAGAGAGAATGCAAAGTAGGAGTTTATTCGTTCTCAACTTCCGTCCATTACAATGAGGGGTCTCGCCCCTTTAATAGGGAATACATTACATATGGTCAAAGTCCTCTTGTAACACCCCAATCTGTATAACCCGGAATTACACAAATTAAGGTGAAACAAGAGTTAAATAAAAATTTCGCTTGACATTTGAAAATGACAATTACTTATAAATATTAAATTTACAGACTCTGGATCGCGACCCTTTTAAAAATATTTTCAGAGTAATGCGGAAGTACAATAATAATCAAATCATGACACATTTTAAAATCTATTGACCAAACATTGCCTGCCATCCTTGTATCTCCTCTGACTCAATGCCCTCCGGGAAAGGTTCCATCATTGTCTTCTTGTTACCTACGTGTAGTCAACGAAAAAATACAAACCACACGCTCAGCGAAACCGCTGAGTGGTACCACGCTAGAATTGTAGAATAATTCATAGACATATACATTTACATATATATGTCCACAAAAAGTATAATAATAATATTCATAATATGGCACATTATATCATATGGACAATTTGATGAATCATGATGATAAATATTTAATGATAATTACATGATGGCACAATAAATCAATTTGCTTGTGAGGATGATTACATGATACTCATATAATCCATATATACTTGTTCTTGATGATGATTACATGACATCTATGTAATTGATGTACTTGATGATGAT